ACGATGGCAGGCTGAAGTTGCGGAGACCGTTTTTGAGACGATCAATTTTGAGGCCGATAAGGCGGAACACAAAAAGAAGGCCAAACAGAAAAAGCTGTTCGACTTGGATGAGAAAGGTAGGTTTTGTCTTCAGGTGAGAAGGCAGATGCTGCGCGGGCGTCATTGCCTTTAATGATTTTTGGCGGCTCAAGCGCTTTTTTCTGCCCACGAGCGGTTTTCCGCTCGCAACTCTTTGTTCGCTAGCGAGCAGTTTTTCTGCTCCTGAGCGTTTATTTGCGCTCGTGAGTGCTTTTGACCGCCCTCAAGCGCTGAAGGATTAACCGCCGCTCGCGAGCGTTTTTTCCGCTCCCGAGCGGTGTTTTCCGCTCTCGAGCAGTTTTCCCGAGCGCTCGCGATAAACCGCTTTACAAAATAACTCGATGCTCGCGAGCATTTTTGAGAAAATTAGAGCGCTCGTCGCTCGAGCGGTTTTTTAGAACGCTCGACCCAGCTCTTGGTCTCTTGTTTTCACGGCAGATTATGCAACCTATTTTTGGACGAACACTTTTTTTGGCACCTGTCTTTGTAATGCCCCTCTTGGCAACAGTTGAAGAAGCATGCCTTTTACCACCTTTCGTACATCGTTCTTCGGCGTCGTGTAGCGCCCAGTATTTGATCAATAAACACCTTTTCCATCCGCTTTCACACCTCCATAGTTTTGGTGACTACATCCAGGTCCCTCTGATGGTAGGTAGTGATTTCTTGATCTCCTCGTCTCACCTGGTACGTGGCGGCACGCAACTCTTCTTTTGTTGTGAGTAAGGGCGATATCCCCGTTCTGGTTGTCATGATGGCCCTTTGTTTTGTGAATGTTTACCATCATCTCCCTTTAGGAGGTCCACATGCATCTTTCTGTCCCTTTTTGACAACGATGGTGAACAGCCCGTCACAGACGACTGTCCATGATCTACATTATGGCTTTGAGGTTTCAGACACATTCCGCTACTAACTATAGAGAAACTGGTTTTCATCAACTACGTGTATCTTAATGGCCATAAAAATCTACCGCTTTTATGCTCATTCCTAATTGTCTTCAAGGACAATAGGTTTTCGCTGGCAAAGACCTGTATGACCCATAATGTTGAACGTTGAACGTTATTTTTTACTAAATCCACAAGAAAGCAAATTACATTACATTTTCAACCAACACTGTCCCATTCGCCATCTTGATTCCCTTTCGTAATCGTCGTACAACCTTCGTCATTAACCTTGAAAAATTGGTTGGGCTGTTGCTTAATCCAAAAGGCATCCTCTGAAACTCCCCCCCGCCTCGTCAGGAGTAATGAATGTAGTTTTGTGTATAAAGTCCTCAACTAACTATACCACGTGCCAATTTAGTTCCATGTGGCTGAACTGGTTCTCATTGCAGATGAAACGAATGTGAGCCAATGCTCATTTAAATTTTTCCCCTAATTGGATGGTAGCACGTAAAATTTGCCCTGCCTCTCAACTCGACCTCATCCAACATCACGTCCGCTATCACCACCCCTTTTGCGCTGTCACTATGTTGTTTTTCCCGGAACCGCTTAACGTTGTTTTTGTGGTTTCACGCACTGAATTTTCACACATGGTACTCTCACGCCCATATCCAAGATGCACTTTCGACTATTTTCGCCATTGGTAGGTACGGATCGTCCATATAAATTTTTTGCCAGGTCCGTCTTTTTTCAATTAATTGGTTTACGGTTTGGTCCACTTCCTTCCTGCTTGGGCATTTCCAACTGATATGGCCTGCGTTACTGCACGTAAAGCAGTTGCTTATTTTGGCCTCGTACAACCTGTAGCTCATTGTGTTGGATCGCCGCAATTGTCGCATTTCCACATCAATTCCGTCTTTTGTTCTCTCCCTTGATTGACATTGGTCTGTCACCTTTCTCAATGTATGGCTTGCTGATTTCCTCGTCGCCTGTGTTCTCGCTTTATTTAGTTCCACCTGCTTCAGCCCCTTTGTAAATCAGAAAGTTTAGATTGAGATCTTTGTGTCACTTTATGTGACTGCGGCGAGGTGGCGTGAGCGGGCGAGCGCTTGGCGTTTTCGTGCGACTTTGAGCGGAGAATGTGTTTGTCTTTGTACGAGTAAAGTCTGCCATTTTTTATTAAACATTTATAACACAGTGAATCTTATTTTATTTACAACATTGGGAAGAGAAGAAGAGAAACACTTTGCACGATTTCACATTCTCGTGATCACGCTTTCGTTTCTACCTTCTGGAATACGAACTTGGCACTAAAGTTTGTGCTGTACCCAGGCCAGTCCCGAGAGACTGCGCAACTCAAGATTTAAATTTGAAACTTTCCCTCCCAAACTAACTGAACCCCATGGCACGTGATCGTCTAGAAAGGCTACCTAACCTGAATAACAAAATAATAGGACCACTTACTACGTTGTGTTTTTAAGAGTCGCTACAAGATATGTGTTGCCTCTCGGAGTGAGGATCAAGTAAGGAATACAAATAAAACAAGTACATGCTTTAAAAACGGAGATTTAATCCAAATAATTTGCATTGCAAGATTAAATTTAGAAAATGATAGTTCACCGAGTACAAATATAAAAATAGGCTGGGAAAAAAAGAATTGGCCAAGAAAAAACCCAGCCAACAAATTAATATTGAACTTTATAGCAAAATTAATTGTCTGTAATGGCATAAATGCATGTTGTCAAGTACATCAATACAATGTCGAATCCCAGGTTCCACTGGAATTCCTAAAGAATCAATATTTCACACACATAACAAAAAAACAATCATAAAAACATTACAATAAATTCATATAATAGGTTTGGATTTTGGATGGCCAGTCCAAATCCCACACCGAGTAGTCATTAGTTGCTCTGGTCATGACATGTCAGCATTGTATGAAATGGCTAGGAGTTGGCCTCTCAGAAGAGCCTTTCACATAGGAAGGATATAGTTGTTTAACACAACCATAAGGTCACAACGAGAACACGCCACACGCTTTTAGCGAATCCCTGCGCAAGTGAGGCCGGGCTTAGCCGGTAGCCCCATGTACTACTAGCGGGACCCCAACTCTTTCATTCATACATCTCTAGGGCCCGTCCAACCCACTAGTCTTAAAATGCCTGGTTATAAATTACCGAACTCCAGGCTCTCTACCATGAGTAATGATAATGACAATAACCGATCAAAAGACAAATCATGACATAACGTAAATAACAGAGTAACCAACGGAAAACTCGCACGCATACCAAATTATAAACAAAATGTACACAATTTATGTAGCCGTTGACAGTTGACATATTTGCACTGGCATAACAAAGACTGACACAAAACCAATATTCGGTCACTACATGTCAGGGATCGACTAAACGAATTGATTAGCAATATTGGCAAGATGGCTCCCCTCGAAGACACAAAAAAAACAGTACATAAAATATATATCTCTGCGTATGTCAGTTCTTAACTTTAGCCAGCCTCTGCGACGTCAAATCGAGATATACTATCGGTATCAAATATAGCACAGTACATATTCGAAACAAGTCACCCTGCGAAATATTAATAATCATAATCACCCGGTTCAAAGAAATAGTAGGAACATAACTTTTAGTACTATCACATTACAACAATGCAAAGGAACATGTCGTGGCAAACATTGGTATCAAGTAATTAATTCACAATGCCAAGTGTAATATGTAACAATCAACCACCTAACGTACGTCACTCGCCCCCAGATGAGGCACCCTGTAAATTCACAGTAACATAATCAGGTAAACAAAAGCGAAATGTGCTGCAATAAATTCAATTATAAATTAAAATTTAGTTCTGCATACTTGTATTGGATATCACCTCTAAGGGAACATACAGTATCTAAATATAAATAAAAACACGTAAATCGGTCAGTAATCCCCAGTAGGACCAGTATAATTAAAACTGCAATTTGTATCTGGAATGTGTTAAGTATAAATGGCAATAATCAATGCTGTACGAGAATAAAGTTAAATTGGCAAATAATCGAACACGATCATATCTTTATTAGAGGGATGCAATAGACGTAGAGATAAATAAAACGAGTACATCACCTTTGTAATTGTCGAAGCTGCACTCACTATTCGCAACGTAAAGATTTACTTCTGGTCTCAACAAAAGCACACATACTTCTGCCGCATTCCCCCATTTTTTTTTAAACAAATCCTAGACGAAATTTGAACGTGCTCCGAGACGGGTCGATACGGATCATTAAGTTTCCTCGCATAGCTGGCATAGCGTAATATTTGACACTTTTATTGTAAATTATGGCCCATTTCAATGTAGAGCAGAGAAGAAAAAAAACACGTGTTCCACGAAAACGAAACAAAGCGCAATCTTGACCTTTTTCGTCGCGCCAGGCTCGGATTCGGGAATATTTAAATCGAATTTTAGGTGGCTAATTCGGTTCCATCACAAGTTCAAACGACCTTGCTACGATCAGGCCGCTAAAAAGTATGTTTTTGACCCACAATCTACTGTATAAAATTACAGGTAACTAGCAGTTTGTCATGAACCTGAATTTTAGGAGTTGTCGCCACTTAATGATTTTTACTCGAAGCTAAACTGCTAGTTCTTTACTACTATCTGTATAAAATTCACATCCAGTTTTTGAAATGCACCACGTATCTTCCTACGTGCGCGGAATAAAGGCTCTCGTACCCAAAATGGCACACCCGTTCTCTTATAAATTCGCTAAAAATTCAATTTCAACGCCATTTGAATCTCGCCCAGTAGAAAAAGGACCTTATTTTCTGACCGAAGGAAACAGTTGCGTCTCGCGCGCCCCTTTTAACCAATAAGACCCCGCACTTCGGTCACGTGCCCGGTTTTACACACGGAGCGAACGGTTTAGGTCCGAAGTGGCTTCATTTGGTTCGTTATCGCCAGACATATCTTTGTTCAAGTTCACTATGAAGCGGTACATGTGTACCTAAGCTTACCAAAATATAAATTCAATTCCAAAGCGACCACCTGTTACAAAGTACAACAAAAATGTTTGTTCTTGGCCTAATTAATTTATTTAAAATGTTTACAACCTTTTTCCGGAATGGTGTATGCTTAAACTTTATTTAAATTTCGTTTCGTTATCACCCACTTATGTTAGGTTCACTTTCAGAATCGGACTGCATTCTACACGGGTACATTAAGAAATTAGGCGGTCCCTGGACAACCAGTTGGCAAATGCGGTACGCAAAGCTGTACCCGAACAGGCTGGAGCTTCATCCCGACTCGGCGAAGCCCGAAATGGTCTTCATGGATCAGGTGGAGGAAGTCAGTCCAGAGTTAGTTCAAGTGAAAAACGAACAGTGTATTGTAGTGAGATTGCGAGAGGGTAAAGTGGTGCTGACCAACCCCGTAAGTATTTCGGAGCCACGCCCCGTTTCGAAACGTAACGCATTTTTCTTGTTGCAGGACGAAATAGGCCTAAAGGAATGGTTAACGTCACTCAAGTCGGCGCACAAGATATCTCAGGAGCTTTTAGGGTCGATGGCGAAGAAAGCGGGTAAAATATACGGCACAGACTCAAACAATTTGAATAGAAATGCGATAATAGCTCGTAACGCGAACGGCAACTGAGCTACTCGTAAGAAATTCCCCCGTGCCCCGATCCTTACTACCCTCTGTGTGATTGATGCGCTTGTGTTGCGGTTAGAAGAATTATGTTTAATCCCTCCCCTTATTGCACACATTGGCACTACTCTTAAGGCACTATTTATATAACCGAAATCATGACAATTTCTTTCCATTCGATTTGTTCTACTTTTTTAGACAAAGGGGAGGTATTACGTTATTCGATAAGGTTGGGACCGTGTACATTACTGAACGAACGAAATAATTCGTCTCACTGGTATCAACACCAAGCTTGTAAGTCACTAGAATAGCTTTCTTTGCCGACCGCTAATCATTTCGATACTTACTAAATTGGCATTATCGACGCAATAAGAAATTTTTAGGTTAAGTTTTTACGTACCTGGTCGTTTGGTTCGAATGCGCGTGCGCGCGCTCGTCGGGAGATTGTATCACTTGGTATTATTGACGAGAACTTCTATTTATTATACCTACTCTACGTTTTGTACAATTTTGTAAATAATTTAAGTGTGCAATAAGTAGATAGAGATAGATGGGAAACTGCTACATTTTTAAAAATAGTTAGCGAATAAAGGAATAAATTAAAGCCTACATTTATGAGACGTATTGGCCCAGTGTACTACTTATACTTTATATGTGCATTATTAATAATGTTTTTATAGATATTGTAGATAATATTTTAATAACAACTTAAGTTATTTTCTATTTTTCATGGGATAGCCATGCCAGTGTATTAGTACCGATTGTACGTTCAAAATGATCGCTACCCTCCCTCTTTTGGATGTATATTATAGCAGCCAAAAACGAGCGATTTTTGTATTTCTCCACCAAACAAAACAGTTTCTAAGAAATTATTTTGTGTGGACACATTTTCGATGATTTTTATTTGGTCGAGAACAGCGCCCTCTATACTTTCTTCAATAGCACCAGTAATTGATTGTTTTTTTTGTATGCTTGGGATTCCGGCTCTACCAACCTTTATAACATTCTCAATTTCATTAAAAAGCACTATATTTTCTGGTGAACGTTGAATTAAAAGGTCAAATGGCTCAAAAGCTTAAGAACTCCTTGCAAGTAGGAGAAAAAGGCGTAATTTGGGACAAGGGACGAGGAATATTAAATTTTGTCACACATCATTGGTGTTTCTATGAAAAAGTAAGCACTCACTAACCGGGTTGGAATTAATTGGTGAAGCACAAGCACCAGAAATTTAAGTGAGCTTCTTCATAATTGAAGGTAAATTGTGTGCTGCTTTTACGAAACGCATAATAATCGCTCAACGAAATTCAATACGCATTTAAGACCTTTGAAATTTTGAACGTACAGGTACAACTTTGTGTAAATGAGGTGTAGATTTCTCTCCAAACTCTTAAAGAAAACAAGCAAAAAAAAACGTGTACAGATTCTTCTTCTTCCTGTAGCCTTACTCGTACGTTTAAGTATTAATAAAACAAATTTTGTAATACAATTCAAGGTTTTAAAACGCGATATGTGTTCATGCAAATTTTTGAATCAAAAAACCACACACGATTTACGTGTTATCAGGAAAACGCACACATAGCAAGAAGTGGGAAGAGACGAAGAATCGGTTTTCATTTAAAAAATTTTTCCGCTCTACCAATTACTAACGTAACAATCCGAATTGTGTCAAAACTGTAAAGAGGTTTTTAGTGCCATTTAGCTAGGTACGAACGGGATATTTCTATATAAGTGTTTCTAATGAGCAATTTAAAGAACAGCATTTGTATTACCTACGCGTAAGTATAATTATTGTTAGTGAATATTTCGTACAGTTTTTATGTTTAAAAGAAAAGAGAACAATCACTATTTTGTGGTTAGACAGCAATACATTGATGTCTATTGTGTATTTATTTAAAAAAACGTCTAAATACATTGTTATAATCTGTGCTTTTGTATAATTTGCCAACCGGACACACTTTCTCCGAATACACATTGACAAAGTAATCAGTATTTTCTAATTGGGTGAATGGGTGGGAGTGATACCAAAGAGTCACATGGTCACATTTTGTAAGTTCCAATTTTTGATAGGGGAGAACGTGTCAATTAATAGAAATTGTTAGATAAAACAAGGGAAAACTATGTGACGCTTTATGCCGATATTTCCGAACTTAGCTCTAAGTTTGTATAAACCGATGCATTCATTAAATCTAGACGCACAGATGGTACCTAGGTTTTTGTATTAATTTGTAAAGTTGTTAGTTTTCCATACATGATTTGTTTTATCAGTATTGTAAAATGCAAACCGTTGCAGTGCAGTAAGTTGTATAGAAATTATTTAACGTAGTTAAATATCGCTGTAAGTTGCAAGTTAAGTTAACTAATAGTCAGTGTGTATATAAGGCATTAAAAATCACATTTATAGATTCAATACAATCTTATTTGAATTTTTATTTAATTGAATGAGTCAAAGCCAACTTATGCCGCCTTATCTTTGCTCAATTGCAGGTAAGTGATGTGTAGTTCACCGAGTACAAATATGACTGGGGATAAAAGAGCTCACCAAGAAAAAACCAGCCAACAAATTAATGTTAAAATTGTTGTTGGTTGGTTGTTATGATCTGCATGCATTTTAAAATGGTTGTCGAGTAATTAATGAAATGTCGAATCATAGGCTCTACCGGAATCCCTAAAGAATTAATATTTGACACATAACATAAAAAAAGCACAAGCATTAAATATTATAATAAGTTCACATAGTCTGTATATTGGGTGGCCAGTCCAAATATCCCGTAGATCCTGTCTTTAGTTGCTCCATGCACTTCTAAGAACTCCTAGCGTTTGCCTCTTAGAAGAGCATTTCACACAGAAACGATACCCCCAGTGGATACAAAAAAGGGCACAACGAGAACACGCCGTACGCTTTTAGCAGATCTGTGTGTCACTTGAGGCAGGGGTTAGCCGACCGTCCGTGTTCCAACACGACAGATTCCTAAATCTTTCATTCGCCCATCTCCAGGGCCAGTCCAACCCACTAAATATAAACGCTGGGTTATAAGAAACAGAACTGCAGGCTCTCAATCAACATACCAGCAATCTGTAATGTTCTTAGGGGTCTCTCAATCGACATTGAAAATGTTTATTTATCCTATACTTACAATACAGGACTTTATAAAGGTGGTGACAATAAGAACCCAGCCGCCATGTTGCATTGAAAATCAAGTTGCACAATACACGTGTGACATGTGTTGCGTACACTGGAATACAATACCTTATCATTGTTTATTCATAAATAAATAAAGTTATTATCTATACTTGATGCAACATGGCCGCCAATTTCAACAACCAATCAAAAATTAAACAATACTGTCGCCACCTCAGAGGAAGAAATTTACTAAAGGTCGCCAGCTCGCCACTGTCTATAATATTCTTTTCTTGTCTAAATCTCGTTTGTAACGATCACTTATTTAGTCAAATTGTTTCTTCAATAAAGATAATGCTATCCTAAAAATGTCATAAATGATGAAACTGTATGTAACATTCCATAATATTGTCAATTGTTTAGTACCAGTAAAATGTAAACATTTGTACTTAACCTATGTTATATTAAATCTGGAGACTAAATATTTATCTTCTGTAAACTAAGGTCTCTATCTACTGTCAACGTATTATAGTGAGCTTTAAAAATGAATATAAATTTAATTTTAATTTTACAAATTCCCTATAATCTGTCAAAAGTTACTAAAAAATTGAGGGAAAATAGGACAGGTTCTAAACATTACAAAAATAGGACAACTTTCAGTTCCTAAAATAACTACCAAAAAATTGATCAAAGTTGATGTATGAAATGTTCAATTTTTTTGTTCCTAAAAAAATGATTTAAAAATTGACTAAATAAGTGATCGTTACACACGGGCTCAAGCTATAAAGTCACTGTATGGAACAATAAAGTCCCTAGATTACTAGTAATCTATATATAAAGTCCCTAGATTACTAGTAATCTAGGGACTTTAGGGAACAATTACAAGCAGCGCCATCTAACTATCATTGTCAAAATGTCGGATATTTCGCGGTCCTTTCATATATCGGTAGCATTCCGTTAGGAGTGCGTGGTACAAATGGGACTTCACGTTGCCTGTCTTTGAATTTTTGTGCGTCGGAAGGGAATAAGAAAATGAAATTTGTTACGCACGAGGCTTGGTTGCGGGGAGCAAATCCAAATAGAAAATCCAGGGGAATAAAAGAACCAGCAAGAAAAACATAACACACACAAATACAAGAAATAAATCAACTACAGCAACAAAGTACAGACATAAATAGATACGCAAATCAAGTAATCGAGTCAAATGTGGCTAAACAAATTATTCAAAACGAGATACAAATGACATCATAAAAAAATAACTCATTTGAGTATAAAATACATGAAGCACATCTAAGGTTCAATTGAGACAAAACAAATCTTAAAATGATACCTTGCATGTAGTACCTAAGGACATGATTTTGTTCTGGCTTCTTCCATCATTAATTTAACACGGAAAGGCGCACACGAAAATGCCAGCATAGGCATTCAAGATACAGTGCCCCTCCCACCCTCTCGTTTAGCGTACGCAGCGACATCTAGCAGCGGGCCACGAGATCAAAAGGAAGGCACAGCGAAAAATCCAACTGCATCGTTCCTTTTTAACGAAAACGAATGGGTAATCGAAACACATAGTTTTGACATTTGTACCGTTCCTGTTTTTGATTAGTGTAATCCCACTCCGGCAAGATGGGTAACCCGCCCCTGGTTTCGGGGTTTTGAGCCTACAGTTGAATGTCGAAGACAATCACGGAATTAGGTGCCTGCTTCATTCACGGAGAAAATTGTTAGTTACAAACACCAAGTCAGTACATACATCAAACGAATCGGTAATTTCCACATATTAAAATAAAATGATCAAAACTTATATGAATGTTACTTCAGGGACAAGACCAACTAATCAACATCAATAAACATAAATTAAGCAAGCATTACACCAAAAATGTAAACAATTACAAACAATAGCATAGCGGTATCACATATGTGATTCTGCATTGCGGCTAAACCAAGTAAATTTCAAAAACAAAGATTCAAACACACAAAAAATATAAAATGTGGCATACAAAACACAAATACGATATAATGAAATGCAAAGATTACTACCTGCATTAAAAAACACAAAATAACAACAAACATTTATGGAGCGACGCGTTCACGACCGGCATTTAAGACAAGATGCCAAACGTATCCCACGTTCGTGCTTTTTAGATGGTTCAGGCAGCTTTTTTTCACCTAGAAATTGCATGGTTGCCAACTCTTAAAAATGTATGTATCGTCGTTGTATACCTCTCAAGTGGAAAAAGAAACAGATCTGTTCATTAAAATCCGATCCGTTCCATAGAAACAGCTCAGTTCAGTAGAGGTAAGTCTGTTTAACTGTTTAACAGAATCAGTTTTCCCTTTAACCGACCGGTTTCTGATAAACCAGCCTATTTCCATCGGCAAACAGAACCGAATCGACTGACCTTGAACTTGGCGCATGCGCAGATCTCAAGGTCAAAGCGGTCCCGGTTCGGCCTTGCTTATACCTACTTCCGAAGCTTCGCGTTACCACATCCGTAGCGACATGGCCCACGCATTACCTAAGCAAACCGCCGCCACTCTACAACCTGCAAATCGCTGGATCTGCGACGGTTGATTTCAGAATTGACGGAATTCATCAGCAAGGGAGCCGGATAACTATCATTGGCGAAGCGTATGGATCCCGGACCCCAACAAACTTAAACTACAAGATGTTCTTTAGACGACAGCTCAAACCAAACCGGATGTAACATAATAAGCGTTCATGCTCTCGAGCCGGCGCAGATAGCTTTCCCCTAAAAAGACGTTTTTCTAAATCGTCCACGCCGTTCCATACATTGCGCATGTAACATGTCTGAAGTATTTTTGTATGTTTGCATTTAAAAAAATGTAAGAAGACATATATCCTAATATCCAACTCCTCTGATTTGGAAACGCGATTTTGTGAAATAAAATTTGTTTTGATACATAGAATCGAACTCGAGCCACCCGGATGCAAGCCGAGTATCCTTACTATAGACTGTTGTGACATACATTCCAATTCCAAAATGGCTGAGGGGAAGGGTCAAATATGACGTTTCGCATGCGCAGTGCATGAAACGGCGTTGACTGAATGGAAAGGCGACGCGACGGCCCCAAACAAATGAGCAATAAACGAAGATATCTATATAAACATTTCGCAAGGTTTTAGAGGTACCTAATAAATCAAAATGTCGTGTGCAAACTAACTAAAGCCTTTTATGGTACCGAGATAAGAATGGTAGATTAATGAATTTGCGCAAGCCAAGAAAGAAAAGCAAACTGAACATTGTGTAATGCAAAATATAGGACATTTTAAAAATGTTGTTGGGGTAAATATCTAGGTACTTCGGGGTATGAAAGCGATAGAAAGTATACAACAGGATTTCTTTTCAAAGTATTTGTCAGTAGGTACCGTATGCTGCAATACACGAAAACGAAGTACCGTAGCGATATCTTCTAGAGAAGGTGAATACATACTTTACCTTATTAGAAGCAAATAAAGAAAGAGTTTGGACTACAAATCTAACTTGACCATGTTGGCTTCATCACATCAAGTTTTGTGGTATATGAAAGGCTGTGTGCAATAGTATGCGGTCACGCACGGAACACCTGTATAGCTAGCTTAAAACCAATCAAAATTAAAACTTAGAATGTCATAATCTTTCCTGGTACACGCCCGTGATCTGCTATAAAGAAAAATCCTAATACTCCCTCAATTTGAGAGGGTCGATGATCTCGATCAACTTCAGAACATTCCAAACACATTATTACAAAAGATTTGATTCTAACCTGAAATAAATCTGACATGAAGACTATATCTGAGTCGCACAATGGATTCGAACAAACACACAATTAATTGATTACTTAATTAATAATTAACTGATAGCACTGTGGAGAAACCTTGCTAGAGTACCTACTCCCGCCTTTATAGGTAGCTCTCATGAAGCGCTTCGTCTGGTGAACGTAAGCAATGACTCGAACTGGACAGCTTGATAAATAAGATGACGGTAGAAAGCAGACAACTGTTTTGTTTCCTCACACACGAAGTAACGTTTTCTAAATACGAACAAACCGCTTAACTTTTTCTGCACATTTGATTTCGAAACCGATCACGAACTGCGTCTTGAACAAAACAACTAGGGCAGACTTCCCGAGATTTAGCGTAAACAAATTTACACGCTCTTTACCGTCGGGGAGCTCGCAGCATTAGCAGCGCTCGCGTTTTTACGTTAATTTATGGGAACACCACTTTCACTATAAAATAATCTTTCTTCTGGATTTCAAAAAACACCGCCAATCACATTTAGACTTGATAAGGCCAGCTTCGAATGAACGCGTCCCCACTTACGCCGAAATATCGCGCGTTAATTAAATTTCGTCCGATAAAAACTCCTCATCGCAAACGACCAGACATGCATTTCAAAACGAAGTTGGACGTTTTACAATTAAATACACAAATCTAAATTAACAATTTAGAAAAGCGATCAAATTTAAATAAGAATTACTCAATTCCAAACGAAAATGAGATTCAAATACAAACTTTGTGCTTATTCGTAAATAATCCACCAGATTTACACATAATACATTGAAATATTGTCATATGAGAGTTTCACGTAATTATTTTTGGTGTTTAGTTTAGACCAAAATAACGTCTTCATGACGTTGTTTACACAATAGTAGAGAAACAGTTGCATTAAATTAAGGATTGAAACTTAAAGGGTTAAAAGATATCTAGACAAACTACCAAAAAAAGAATTGTTTGTAATTGCGTAATAGTTTCTTAATTAATTAGATAAGATACTTTAAGACACATCTGGTGGTTTGTGATAAGGAGTTTTATTATCAGCCGAAATTTAAGAGATAAGGTATTTCGAAGAATTGCGCGTTATTTCGACGTAGGTGGGGATTCGTTCCTTCGAAACTAACGTGTTATCAAGACTAATTGTAATTGTCGTCGTTTTGGAAAACCACGAAGGAGATTATTTTATAGTAGAAGTGGGTTTTCTTTGAATACTGGAGTCAACACGAAAATGAAGCTGCTGCTGCAAGTTCCGCGTTGTGTTGTTGAAGACGCAGTTCGTCGATTTCAAAGAAAAGTATATAGAAGAAGTTAAGCAAAGAGTTAAGTAAAGTAGTAAAAGTGTGAGAACAGTCCGTATTCAGAAAAAGTTAGTTCGAAGCAATAGTGAAAGTTATAAGTTTCTACCGTCCGAGCAGCCACCCATAATGTTGTCATCTAATTTATCAAGCCAGTTTGAGTCATTGACTTCAATTTATTAAAGAAGGGGTAAAGTTTCCTAAAGTTGTGAGCGAGGATTATTTGTCTTTGATAAGTGCGCCTGCATATCGCAAATTTTGTAAAATCAGATTATAAGGAGTATTGAGCAAAAAAGTAATTTTAAGATTTAATCGACCGTCACCGTGCGGGGTATTATGTTCAAACAAGCTTTGTAAGATTTTCTTTTTTTCGAGGATTTTGTTTTAATTCTTCCACGAGTTTCGCAATAAATTTTTGTCATTGTCAATCAATTAATTGTGTGTTCATTCGAATCCTTTGTGCGACCCAGATAGTTTTCATTTCAGAATTTTCTATTTCAGATTCAGATTTATTTCAGGCGTTAATCAAAATTTGTGTAATCAATTTTCGGAAGTTGATCTAGACCACCCAGTCCCTCAAATTGAAAAATTTCAAGCGAATATTAGGATTTTTCATTTAGCAGATGTCAGATGTGGACGAGGGAAGACTATAAAAATTCTGAGTTTCAATTTTGATTTGTTACGAGTTAGCTGAACAGGTCTTTTGTGGATGGTGTAGCGACCACACAGTAATATTTCTCAATCTATTCTTAAGATCCCAATACTTTTTTCACAAAATTTTTGGCTTTTTAGTGCAGATTCCGTGTTCTGTTGACGAAATGTGTTTTTAAAATTTTTTCATTAGCCCGTGAATCCAAAACGATCATATTTGCCATGATCAGACGATTACAACAACTTTATAAGTAAGAAAACCTATTTATAGAATAAGTTCGTTTTTAGCGGTATTTACTGTAACGGGAGTCCGCGAACGTATGTTCTTTAATTCCCTGTGTAGGTCTTTCAGACCACACCGCTTCATGGTAATCAGTGTGACATTCGGTTGATTTCTGCCCCCGTTTAAAGTCCATTAGTTCTTGTCTGGGAATCTAGGGAAGTAGTGCCCCTAGATACAAACTTTTGTTTGCAGCGTCAGAGTTGGTTTTTTTCTAAGACAATATATTCAATGTTTCCCCTTCAATTAGGCACAGATTGCTATAGTTAAAAGGACACAGGGGTGTGGGAAAGAATTTAATTTGATTTTGGTAGTTAAAACGGTTTTATTGTAAGGGCCTCCAGTTGAATTTGTTTGGGGTTGTACGGTTTTTTAGAATTGCACTACTGCATTATACCTATAGCAGTTTTGTTGTTCTTTTGGGCCAATGGTTTCTTAGTACAGTCCTGTCGAGCTAACTGCGAAAAGTCAAATTGTCGCGACATAAGACGACATTAACTAGAATTCCGCGACGATCCTGCTGACGTCAGATCCATTCGTCATCAAGTGCGCAATGTGGCTGATTCGGCAGAATTTGTGCCAACGTGGGTTTGAGAAGTTTTTGGTGAAGAATCGTGAGGCAATTCAGAATGAAGGAATCCCGTTTTTATCTCAGGACCACATTACGTACCTAACGTTCGCCTGAAGTAGTCGATTTGTACGCAGGTGACACCTTTTAATAGATATTGTCGCCTACCAACGGATTGCGTAATCTTGCGTAATCGCCTGGGAATTTCAAAATCCGAGTCGCATTTATTTACGAGGTCCAGGATCGATTTGTTTATCAACCCATTAGGATCGACGTCATGTCAATTATTGTGAGCAGTCTAGTAGAGACGCCGGCATTTCCAGTAGAATGATCCCTGGAGATTAGTTTTTTGTATTCAAATGAGTACCGTTTCCTATGAAATATTAAGAAAAAAACTTAAACAATCAGCCTGGTGATACTTTGTTTGAAAGAAATTTTAATTATCGGTTCAGCAACAATCATTTTTTTTAATTTGATGCGATCATAACTGACAAGATTAATTATGAAGATGTAAAATTATGAGAGAACCTATGAAAACAAGACAATATTTCACTCAGAAGACTCGCCGGTAAATAGAAAATTACAAAAAAAATGTTTTTTTTTTCATATCTCTAATTACCCCGTAAGTTTTGTAATTATGCTAATCTCTAAAATCGTGTCAAAACATGTTTGCATTGCAATGGTGCGCACATTTCACGGTAAAATTCGTTCAGAGTTCGAGCTAATACCTATACATCATTTTTTGATCAATTTTGGAAATGCTGTATAGGCACCATTCTTTTCTTGCTAATGTCACAATGAATACACTAGTACAGTAAATTTTTCAAATATTAGTTTACGTCATTACCTATAGGAATTTGCTTTCCCCTCAAGATAAACATGATTTACCATGAGATACTAAAAACAAAGAAGAAGCACAATAAATTTCCATTAATATTACAACTAACATACATAGGTATAAAAGCACTAAGATGACAATTAAAAGTACTCGAACTCTCACAATGAAGATATCACTATGTATCTTGCTTATCGGTCTGAGATCTCTGTATGCGGTTCCGATCAACTCAGAGTTGCAGAAAAGTAAGTAAATTTGAACGTACCTATTGATTTGAAACTAATCTCTAGTCGCGTTAAGATAAAAAAACAAGTCCATGGCAGTACAGTGGAAAGTTTCAGGGCGACATGCTCTTTTCAAACAGGAGGAACGCGGTCACTGATGTGAACTTACGATGGCCGTACGGTAAAGTGTGCTGATACCATCAGTAAGGACCATGGGCGTTTCTTTAAACACGCCAAACTAAAGTTTAGGTTTTAGCTTTCGAGCAGCAGAATAGAATAAGAGACACGTTGACGAACGCATTTGATTTGTTGACACATGTCTTCAAACCGTAGAAAACTGGCAAGACTGCAATGGCGATTATGTTTATATCAGAGTATGCAATGTTTGTTGTTTGTTTTTTTGCTGCATATTTCTTGTAGAATGACGATGAGGGATGCTACGCGTACGTGGGAAGAATCGGAGGGGGGCAAACGCTGAACTTGGGAGGCGGATGTGCTGACCAAGCGAACGTGATCCTACATGAATTCATGCATGCCGTTGGTTTTCAACATCAGCACAGCTCGCCTGATCGTGACAACTACATATGGATAATGTACGAGAACATAGTTGACGGTAAGAGGACTTACTTAAAACTGTCAATGTACGTCGTCCCGTTTTTTTTTTTTTTTTTTTTTTTTTTAATAATATAAATTTATTAAGGGATAGGAGAAGCCATAGGGCCATTAGTATCCCCCCTCTACAAACTTGGTCGCATCAGATATAACAAAACAAGTTAACAATATTATGAAATACAAAGTAAATATAACAAAAAAAAAGTAAAAACAAAGTAAAAAGTGAGTAAAACAGTATAACAAGAAAAACGAAAAACGTAATAGCTCTCTACGTATAAATTTACACATTAAACATAAAAAAAAACATGTTCAGAGTTCTGCAACAAACAAAAACACTTGCGATCGAAACCATTACAGGACCTGGTGTGTCTAACATCTTCTGGCAGCTTGTTCCACAATTTGCCCGCTTGTATATAAAAGGACGATGCTCCAATGCTTGTCTGAGCCTTAGGAATATAAATATTTGACGTCCTAGTACCGTAACAATGGAATTTAGATCAGTACGGCAGTTTTGACATAATCCAGGATGTGACCTCTTTTGGAGAACCCTACGATATCTGCACCATAATGCACTATACCGATCGTGCTTTTTCGAAAAATGGCGAGCCTACTATAGTGGCGAAATCGGTAAGCATTCCCAGCAAAAGCGTATATTTTCATTTTCTCGTTTCATTCCCAGGATCCGGGGTGCGTTATTGGGGGTGCTCATGAGCAGGGCCTTACACAAATTGACAAAAATAAAATCAATCACATGTACTGTTCATAGAGTAGAACAGCTTCTTGTTCCGCAGGTCTTCTTGTTGAAAACTTTCAGTAAAGTTGTTATGCTAACCCACAGAATAAACACTAGAAAATGTAATAACAATATTTTTTACCACCCAGCATTCCACAATTCGTAAGCTAACCATAAATACATACTTATCTTTAAAAGTTACATCGAATTAACTTCGAGACAATAAAGAACGACTCTAAGCCAAACTTAGAATGCCTTCTCGGTGTTGTGGGATTAGTTGCGGGGCGCGGGGGGGGGGTGCGCTATTGGTTACACGGTTCTCCTATAAAACAGCGAAGATTCTATAGCCGGTCCGTGCAGAACTTGGAGGATCAATTATACAAATATACACCAGTAGGCATTGGCACCGCGAACACGACTTGTAGAAGGGTAGTGGATAACTTCTTGGTGTATGGGATTCCGCATTTATACCCTGCCGATCTTGTCTTGCGGAGGTTCGGCCAACGGTGGGTCGGATGTCGCAATCCCTGTGGTAGGGATTGAAGGCTCCAATGCGTTTAGCAGGTGTTGGGCGTGTGGCTTGCTTTTACGCGATCGTCTAGTCCCGCAACCTCGATTTCGGCGATGTTGGACTGGTCTCTGTCAGTTTTTTCGGCTGATACTGACGTCGGACAACGGCGATAAAAAAGCTGCTGGCGTGAATGGTTGTTCGAAGTTCAACTGGAGGGGCCCGGTGATGGCGTGTTTTAGGTCCTGGAAAGCCCGTTCGACACTAATGCGAATTTCCTTACAAAGCCCGGCAGGACATGTGTCATTAATTTTTGGAAAGTTGCCGAGGCATTTTTTATCCCGAAGGCACCGCGTCGTTGACCATGATCGCGTTTTGTTGTTTGAGTGGGGTGGATTTTCGGAGCCAGTGTGGTTTGGCGTTGCCTCGTTCCCCAATGCACGCAGCCGCTTTTGTAATCTAGGACGGCTTTGTATTTAAGACACCACGGTTGTCTCAGTATGATTGGGGATACGTCTTCTTCAGTCATGGTTGCCGAGAGAGTACCTGATGGTGGAAGATCCAATGATGTTCAAGAGATGATACGGATCTGCCGCTTCGGCGGTGGCGTTGATGCGATGTTCTATGATGCTGAAGTTGTCCTCTCGGATGAAATGGTGTGTAGACGCTGGCGCTTTTCCCTCGGCGGCGAGGCGTCCGAATGGAAATGATATTCCGGGTAGTACCGAGATTTGGGATCGTTACGAGAAGATTTATTATGTTGCATCGACTTGTCCATCTCCCTATTATCTGCCTGGCAAATTTCGCTAGTTCTTTTAGAAGTTCTCAAAGATTAATATACTCGTACATTCAAAAAAACCATGTCAATGCACGGTGGCTATAACCAACTCTGCACGCATAAATCTCCCGCAGGTCTGCCCAAGCCCAGATATACGATATATCTGTGGCCCAAGTGACGTCACCACGAACTTATTCGAATTAACCGAACGCGCATTTAATTAATTTTGGGTTTATTTTAAAGGGGGTCTCAACATTGGCGAAGAGTTTTAAAACAGGTTTGGCGACAGTTAGTGATTTACTTTAATTATTAAACTCTTGAAGAGAGCAAGAATTTTACAAACAACTCTCGTTTGGCGCGTGTAATGTTGGTTGCCTATATCCATAGTAGTGATATAAGGATGATTCTAACTCAAAAAGTCACTAGATGTGACAAAATTTTGGACAAAGTTGACTAGAAAAGTAACTAGGTTTGAAACTCTGCTCAAAGTAGTAGCAAAGTTTCAAACCTAGTTACTTTTTTAGTGACTTTTTTCACATCTAGTGACTTTTTGAGTTAGAATCGGCCTTATATCACTACTAGTCATCTATTCCATGCAGTCACAAGATCTTTTTAAAAGTATACCATTACATAACCGGCTTATAGCTCAGTGGTAGAGCGTTGGGCTATAAATCCGGAGGTCGGGTGTTCGAACCTGGTTTGAGGTGAATTTTTCATCTGTGGCAGAGATGGGAATTTCCTTAGATCAGTTTCGAGCATTCTGCCGGCTACTCCGAATTAGGTTTTTTCCTGCAAGTTTTCCTTAAATTCGTAAGGTAAATACCGAGTAGTATACGAACAATTAAGACCTTCTGCAGGGGCACTCTAAAAAGGAATTCTATCGGGTCACTCTGTAAGGGCGTAAGCCTGTTGAAGGGCTACGAACAAGAGGGACAATAAATAAATAATATATCGAGGTCATATAAGGTATTGCTTTGTAACTTACGTCAACGCCCGACGTTATCTTATGGGCTTTCGACGCAGCGGCGAAGCTCTATGTTATGAAGTTAATGCGGAAGACGCTAGTGTTGAATAAATATGTCTACTAAATTCATGTATTTCTTTTTTTTTAATAATAATTGTTATTTTATGGCCCGCTTGCAATATAACTGTTATAAATATGTGACCCGCCCGAGAAAGAAAAAGGTTGAGTATTCGCTGCTATATACTATATTCCATACATAATGGGCACGCTGTATATACAGGGGGAGTTTTATTTTAAGCATTGGGATCTCGGAAACCATAAGACATACAGATTCGGTTAAATGAGGAAAGAGTTGTAGTTTTAAGAGCTTATTAAAGATATGCTTTTGTTTTTTGAAAAAAATCCACAGTTTACGAGATATGAGCGAAAAACAGATTTAGTGATTTTTCATTTAAATGTTGTAGAATAGCTATTATTAGAAATGCAGCAAAATGACACGAATAAAAGTTTTAGACATTTTAATGCTTAACATTATGAACAAACTAATTCTTTCTATATTTTACAATTTTTGCGTTATAATACAAACTTTAATTTTTTTAAATGATAGTCATAGTTGGCTTTGACATTTTTAAAAAGGATAAATTTTTCTCTTTATAATGATATACCTAAGGCTTTCTAAATGTCCTTTAATAAATAAACGCGTTGCAGGAATCCGTATTATTGAGAGGTAAATAAACAGAGTTGGCCATGGAAAACAACATCTAGTGAGATAGGTAATAGTGTAACAGTGGCACATTTAACATATTTAAAGGCCATTTTCGAAAATTCACTATGAAAGTTAAATTAACAATTATATTCAATACACTATTAAAAGTAGATCGTATCATGCCATGGAAAACAATAAATACGCAAAATACTGCTGTTTATTGTTGAAGACCTCAAAGAAAACTTGGATTTAAAGTTTGGTGCGGAATTATTGAATCACGAATTCTTCGACCTTTAATTTACGATGAAAATTTGACAGGCCAACGTTATCTTCATTTGCCACCAAATGGTTAGATTTTGGAAACAAAACAATTTACGCTGGTTTCACCACAACGGTGCCCCGCCGCACAACAAACTGCAAGTACGAAAGCATCTAAACCAACTATTTCCAAAGTCATGGATATGTAGGAACGGGTCGGCCCTTTGATCACCAAGATTGCCAGATCTTTCAATTTTAGATTTTTCCTTTTCGGTGTTCTAAAAGGGTTTAATTTGTCAGCGAACTTATGCGATAAAAGACTACATGATGCTGCGGTAAATGCCTTTCGCATTTTAGATGGTAGGATAATACGGAAAGCTGTAAATTCTATCGCGAAAAAATGCCGCGCGTGCGTGTAAATATTAATAATGATGGGCACTTTGAACATTTTTTACATGGACACAAATTCAAACTTCAAAGTAGAAATTTAAATGTAATATTTCGTACACACAAAAAACAAATCATTTCAATGAAGCAAATTTTGCGTTGACCGAAGCACATATATGTTTGGATAGGGCCAACTACATGTGTATTTCAGTCTAAGTGACAATATATTTAGGCTATGATGCAAATTTTTATTAACTCAGACACAAATCAAATTGATTTAACAATTAATTTGGTTTAAGTGAAAAACCTATTCTTTCTGCTAACCTCGCAATTTATTTGGTTTAAATACATTGCGCCTAAATTGAAAGTATCGACGTGTTTGAATTAAAAACCATATTCTAGATCAAAATTTAAAAATATTTAAGGTAAATATATCATGCCTGACTAAACAAAACTTAAAAATTGTTCAACCCATACTGTGAATTGAAGCAATTATTAAATATTTAGCCCAAAAGCTACATATTTCTTATTCGACATGCGTACAGTTGAGACTAAATAATATTTTGGTGACGCAAATATATCATTCTTTCATTTAAATATTGTGCTGTTAAAGGGAATTTCCGTAATATCCACAATATCAAAAATTAAATACATAATAAAAATGCAATATGAATATAATTCATTTATTCAGAAGTTTTTAGAAACAAATCAGAACCCAGTCATAACGTACGGGGTTTTTGGTATCTAGAGGGCCAAAATCGTAATTTTTAAGATTTTATTTTCATACAACCTTTTATTTTGGCTCTCCATAGTTACCGGGCACCCTATGTACAAGAAATAGATATAGGTAAGTATAAAAACTTAAAAATATAAAATTCCACATATGATAAAGGAATAAGAACTTACAAAATATTCTCTCAGAAGTACACCTACATAAAAACGGCAGGTAACTTAAAAATATAAAACAAAACCAAAACACTCAGGATGAAACGCACTATCTACGCACTTGCAAGAAATTTTTTCGGTGTCGCAACGCAAAACTTCGAACGTGTAAAGAGCAACCGAGTCGAATTTTATTGGAGGGGGAAATATTTATGCACCCATGCGATTGAAATGAATTCATTTCATTCCAGAGATTTATTTAGTTACTTGGCTCAAAACGTCAAGTTTTTTATATTAAATACAGGAAAAGTTAAATTCATGTACTGGTTTATTATGTTACACAAATGAAAAACATGTTTAAGCGAATTGTGTGGATATTTATGTGAAACTCCTCAAAGCAAATTGCTTGAGTCAAAATATAATATTTTTGAATCAAAGTTAATCCAAGTCAAATATTTTGTGACGAAACATCAATTACATCGATTTATTTGAGTCAAAATAATTATTTTTGATTTAAATCTAATATGATTATTTTAAATTAGTCTTTACTTCTTTTAAAGAAATACGGGTCAAATACATGATGAATTTGTCGTTAAAGTACGATTTTTTTCTGTGTACTCGTAGTTTCTTTTCGTTGTCGTTCTATTTGTGGCCCTAACGTTTTACGTTAAATATTATAATGAGTAATAATGAGTAATTAAGAGAACAAAAATGTTTCCCATGGTAAACTCTGTTTTTACTACTCTTAATAATACAAACAGTTCTGTATCATGTTTATTTGTTAAAGTAAGTACAATGAACCTTATATCATTGTAAACAGAAAAAAATGTACTTTTTAAAAATGTCACAGCCAGCTATGGTTGCCATTTAAAAAAAATGTAAGTTTGAGTTATAACTCGAAAATTGTAAAAGAAGAATGAAAATTAATAAATGTACCTTATTTAAGCGGAACAAAATCTACAATTTTTGTTCTTTGCATAAACGATTCTACAACATTGAAAAGAAAAATCACTAAATCTGTATTTCGCTCATATCTACTGTGGATTGTATTCAAAAAACAAAATCATATCTTGAATAAGCTTTTAAAACGACAACTCTTTCCTCATTTAACCGAATCTCTGTCTTGCGGTTTTCGAGATCCTAATGCTTAAAATGAAAAAAAACTCTGTATATATATATATATATATATATATAATATAATAGTTGCGAAGACAGAAAGAAAAGAAGTCAGTATTTCATTCAGAAGATCCGCCGGCAAATAATTGGATATTACGATGAAAGATAATGATAAAGTTTTTTCCGAGGTCCTTTCTGTATACCTACGTATAATTATAAGGCAACTTGCTTTTGTAAATATGTTCGCTAATCTCTGAACTCATTTCACAACATATTTACACCTCAATGGTACCTACGCATTTTGAGCATTTCATATAAGTAGGTATAAATTAAAAGTTATTTACATAAAAGTCAGGAAAATGATACCCTACCTACTGATGGAGAGGAAGTATTGAAGTACGAGGCCCTATAGGGGCCGAGTACTTTAACTTCCGAGTCAAATAAAGTCATTTTGCTGACGAGACTTGTATTAAATTTTACACGAAATCGTCTTTTTTAATATAAAATTTCAATTTTTGTATAGAACTTTTAATTAATGTCAATCTGCCAGTGAGGACAGGAGTCATTATAGACATGACCAATATGACAAATGCGGACGAAGAAGTGATAGGTGCGGCCGATAAAGTAGGAAAAGTAGTCAGATAACGTATTACTGCCACTGTCAAGGAAACTATAAGTACCTACCTACCTAACATTAGAGTATGAAAATGAAAGGTTTCATGAAGACCTATAGGATACCTACTGTCTATTTTAGCGATTACTGTACCTATTAGAAAAACTCGTTTGGCGGTCTATCTGACACAAATTGTTTTTTTGATTTTTCCCTTCAAGATAAATATATGATATTTACAATGGAATACCAAGAAAAGCGAAAAAACCCACAATAAATTTTAAATAAGATTAGGACAACGGGTTTATAAAAGCACTAACATGTGATAAATGAAAATCTTAGAAACTCTCACAATGAAGATATCGCTCTGTATCTTGCTTATTGGTCTGAGATCTCTGTATGCAGTTCCAATCAACTCAGAGTTGCAGAAAAGTAAGTAAATTTGAACGTATTGATTTGAAAGTAACTATTACTCGTATATTTAGAATATTTTGATATAAATACAAGTCCATGGCAGTACAGTGGAAAGTTTGAGGGCGACATGCTCTTTTCAAATAGGAGGAACGGGGTCACTAATTTAAATTTAAGATGGCCGTACGGTAGAGTATGCTACTACATCGCGCCATCCTTCAGTAAAGCTCATGGACGTGTCTCGAAACATGCCAAACTAAAGTTTAGGTTTTAGCTTCCGCTCAACAGAATAGAATAAGAGACACGTTGAGGAACGCATTTGTCGGCACATGTCTTCAAGCCGTAGAAAACTGGCAAGACTGCAATGGCGATTACGTTTACTTTAAAGTAGGTACCAACGCATTTTTGTGATTTTCTTTTTTGCTGCATACCTACTCCTTGTAGAATGACCAGGGGGGATGCTACTCGCACGTGGGAAGAATAGGAGGGGGACAAACGCTGAACTTGGGAGGCGGATGTGCAGACTATGAGAACGTGATCCTACATGAATTCATGCATGCCGTTGGTTTTCAACATGAGCACAGCTCGCCTGATCGTGACAACTACATTTGGATACTGTACGAGAACATAGTTGACGGTAAGAGGACTTAAATAAAATGCCCCCAATATGTACGTCGCCCTATTTTAGACCAGTACGGCAGTTTCAATAAAATCCAGGATGTGACTCCCTTTGGCCAACCATACGATCTCTGCACCATAATGCACTATACCGAATACGCCTTTTCGAAAAATAACCAGCCTACTATAGTGGCAAAATCAGTAAGCAGGCAGCACTCATAAGAATACTTTCATTTTTCGTTTTAATTCACAGAATCCGGGGTGCGTTATTGGAGGTGCTCCTGGTCAGGGCCTTACACAGATTGACAAAAACAAAATCAATTATATGTACCACTGCTATGGGTTGTAATCCAAATGAATTATGGGTTCCGGTTCTGCGACTTCAATAACTTTCGGTTCCGGTTTTAGTTTAAACATATAACAATTTTATAATAGGCCAAAAATAACACCACAAATTAAAGTAGATTATTCTTTTGTATAAACATTGTGTGTTCGTTTCATCTCTGTCTGCCTCTACTCTATTGCTTTCTTCACGCATTCTTCTTCCTCTTACTATTTTTGATTCGCTTATCCTTATGTTTATGTTGCGCATTCACATTCTAAACTATTTCATTATTAAGTACCTATATAATACAATAATCGACTTTAACTTGAAACTTGAAAATACATTCTTGCATTCTCTACTGCACCCTTTTGCTAAAGCACATCAGCCACGCCCATTTGATGTAAGTAGGTACATGCGATTTATCAGTTACGAGTTTATTTTGTGTTCTTTGTGCTAAATTGATCACTCTTGCTGTTATTTAGTATGCCATTTGTTTTCACTAATTTGTTCAAGTACCTACATTTGCTCTATTACCCGATTTTTCATTCACTGTACATAACATCCCAGCACACGACCTTGCATCATAAAACAAGGTCACTTCTTAGATACGTAAACGGGAAATTCCCTTCACCGAAGCCACGATCAAAACTCGGGGAATCCCTACGACCTTGGCTTAAAAAAGGTTACGGAATCGTATAATCCCTCCCCGAGGCTACGACCTTGTGACCTCACAAAAACTGGCGGGAGGTAGTGCCTGTGTTCTACTGATAGGAATTAAAAGAAATTAAATTGACATTTTTTCTTACGAGGCGACTAGTAAATGTAATACAGGGACCCCGCAGTATCCTTGCTGAATTAATGCCGTAGATAAATCTATTGAAATCCTAATGAACTGATACAATGAGCCACTACGATGAAACACGGAAAAGTGCTTAGTTGACAGTTTTTTAAGAGTTGTAATTTTTGTCGCATTTGTACCTACGTTTGGTATTTTTTGTTTATTTATCTGGATCTGGATAGCAGTTTGAGTTATCGACAAGTACCGTTGGCGCACCGCTGGAAATATGTTGCGCCTCGAAACATGCTGCAGGTGCCGCCCAATAATGTAATAATTTTGATGTTTGATGCAACTTTTAAATGAAAGAAGTAGTGTCTTTATTTAGCTTTGTTGATTTTGCATTTTGTTCATGGTAAAATTTAGCGTCACTTTGCTTTCTGCATCCAGTATAGTTCAATTTGTTCTAACATTGTCCATTTTTGTGTAAGATTTGTGTCTAAATATCTGCCTTTTTTTAAGTGTAGGTAATTAACTTTTTCGTCCGTGCAGCAGTAGATGCCGAAGTGATAAAGATACTTGGCGACATTCATCTCAAAATACAACTTTAGTCCAAGGTTACCCTTTCCAGGACCTTGAGATACCTTCTGGACTGGAGAAGGTCCGGGTAATTAACATTGTATTTCATGTAGTTTATGTAAGAGACTTTGAAATGTTATTTTTCACAAATGGGCAAGAAATGGAGTCGCTTTGAAATCTATAAGAGCTTACCACTCTTTGGCTTATTAAATTTTGTATTAAATTAACGTCAGATTTAAACGATTCAAATTCAAGGGTTACCACTTTTGCTCCAAATTTTCCTCTATACTTGCCTTATGGCAAACAATGGCACGACCTCTTGCGGCGAAACAAAGAACTATTGTAAAAGAAACTTATAACACTCGGATGGCCTCTAGCGACGAAAATAAAGGACTAAGGTAATAAATCTACTACAGGAACCATTTTCATTTTCACTAAACTGGTTTACAAAGGAAATACCTAGAAGGCGAAAGAATATCAATTGGTAAGATCAAAACGGTACAAGTCGAGAGAAAAGATAACACGCCTTTTCCAAAGCCGAATATATATTACACAGTATAGCTGAAGACGTAAAATATCACAGCTTAATCTGTAACGTTGGCTCAAAATTTGAATTTATTTTTTCGACTTATAGAGCTAGATAAAGTACAATTTTTTACATTTCAAGGGTTAGACCATTAGGCATTACATATCATAGAAAATTTACAGGGTGTGGAAATTTAAAGAGCCGATTTTCCAATGTGTGGCTGGTGGAATTTTAAAAATAAATCTCTAAGAATTTCGAGGAATTGCTCCTTTCTGCGTCCTTTACTTTCTATAGAGCATTGTGTTTATAACGGATGCATGGAGACGAGATTTCGCTGTAACTAGAGCTAAAGTGACCTTATCTACTGTAAACCACTGAATAAGTACATCATTTCAGTGTCATTGAAAATGCAACGTGGTGTATCATACGTGGGATTTGATTTATTACCCTAGTTTTTATTTATTTAGTAGTGCAGAAGTGAAGAAAACGAATCAGCAAGTAACGATGACCGTGTAATTTTCAGAAGCCATTTTGTGGGTGGTAGTAGGATAGGTAGGGATCCTTCCGGCGAGATTTTTAGGATTCATTCGGTGCTGAGCTGCGGGGGTTCGTTGTGTATGGGCACTATAAAAAAATTAATTAATTAATTAAAGAATAAACCCATGGTACATTTGGAGTAAAAATTACGTTTGCACAGTTCAAGGTGACAGTTTAATTTAAAAAAAACGATTATAATTGTCGTTGGCCATTTATTTATTTATTTATTTACCTCAGCGATTCATTATCCGATAAAATCCATTGCGTGTTCCATCTTTTCGGGAATTATGAGACACCCTACGGGTACCCAAATTAGATCCACATTCCATTCGAGCTAAGGTAATATAAGAAGTATCCATTTCCCAGAGGAAAACGATTCAATTTTGTATGCGACAGATTAAAGTAGTATAGTAATTAGAATTTTGCGTGATTATTAAACGGCACCAATACCTTAGTTAGGGGTAAAGAATTAGGACAACATTGTAAGCGACGTGGATTGTGGATTAAAATCTGTGTTATTTATCAATATATTTGTTTTAAAATCACGTCTTTTAACGTGGAAATCAGAAATCAAACTCAAAAAGTTTCAAGTAAAAAAAGAAAAAGGAGAAATTCCTTCAATCGGAGTGTTACCAGATAAAAAAAATCATTTCATATAAAGCTATCCGGAGGTCATTCTAATATTATTGTTGATGTGAAGCATTTTCACCATATATACGATGAGACATGTTAAAAACGAATGCTTCAAGGTATTGGTCCTTTGAGCCGAATCAATATTCTTTTCGCTGTTTTTCGCCTTTTGGAAGATTTAAACGACAAAATTTCCAGAACGGTTATGCAAACAAAACAAAAGAAAACAATAAAAAAAACGGCGCACCCGACTGGTCCGGAATTCTAAAGCGGCGGGAAATTTTAATTCAAAGGTCATGTTGACCAAAGGTTTAAGATAACTTGAAAAAAATCCCTTTGCGTAATAAGCAAATATAATAAAGCATTTGTCAATCTTGCAACAAGGATTTGAATCTCCAGATACGTTTCTAATTGACCACAATTTTCACCGACGGACGTTTCCCCTTTGATGTAAAGTCCCAAACAAAGATTTCGCATGCCACTATGAATATTTCAAATCATTACTTCGGATTCTGCGCCCCGTCCCGATTTTGGCGACCACAATAGAACTCTTTCAGCTACTCCCAGTAGTAAGGTGTTTCCTTTAGAAGGCATTTCCTTCATTTCTAAATAATTATGTTCTATACGCGACCTTTATTGTTTCGGGTCTTTAATTAATCGCGCGCGTTTTCTTTTTCATTGTTTGTGATTATTTTCATTCATTTCTGAGGTTTTGTGTGAAAAGTTCAACAGGTACGTATTGATTCGCGACGGATGAAGAAATGATTCTGTTGCGAAAATGCTTACGTAAACTGTTGGTCGGATGTGTTTCCGGTATTCCGTTAATCTTTTGTTATTGGGTTTTCAACGTGCGGTACTGCGCTCTTCCTGCAATTAGTAATAGACGTTGCGAAACACAGTAAAGTTGTTTTTTGTAGATGCCTGAGAGCTTGTTGCAACCTGGTTACAGTGTGATGGCGGAGTCTGAACCGGAACTGAGCACCTTCGAAAATAAATCCGGTTTGGCCGAAGACATGAAGTTTCTTGCGTCCATGCCGGAACTGTGCGACGTGACGTTTTTGGTTGGAGACACGCGCGAACCGGTTTGTGCCGTAAAAGCAGTGCTAGCGGCGAGATCTCGCGTTTTTCACAAGATGCTGTACCAAGTAAGTGACAAAGCGCCCGAGATCCACGCTACATTTCTCGCTTTAAGGCCCCCAGTCCCCAACGGAAAAAAGAGCCGGCTCCTCGTGAAAACAAACTACGCTTATTCCTAAAACGATCTTCAGAGCCTCTACTAAACTTGCAAAACGCATCCCAACAGGTATGATACAGTACATGCTTATTTCGTCTGAGTCATCCACGTGACGATTATGTAAATAGTTAATGCATTGGTCACATGGAAGGAAGCTCCTTTATTTGTACACTGACAAATATTTAGATACTAATTACATGTGTATACCTCACATAGAGAGGCTTCACCCAGCAGTTGGCTCCCATCCAAGAGGTAATCCGCACTTATCCTCTAGTTTCCAACTTCCGTCTGTCTGCTTGCTTCAGTCTCGTAGTAGATTAGGTCTTTTGTGCTTTTGAATATTTAGACTAGGTATAAAGTACCCTTGTAACATATCTGTGCGCCACAAATTAGGACACTTTCAACAAGAGCACCGTTGAAGCTTTACCTAAAAAAATGGTACTTAACGCACTTGATGGGGTGGCGCTGTGACAACCCACTTCAGTAGTTTTTTTATTATAGACTTTCACTCACCTACGTATTTTACTAACAGCATGAAAGCACATCGAGTTTATTTATTATGGCACAGTTGAGGTTCTCTTACTAAAAGTGTAACGGTATCTAGCCAGCATCGCACCAACACCAAACGCTCATCATTGAAGAGTTCGAGCCAGACGTCTTCAGACAACTGATCGAGTACATTCACACTGGATGCGTCACGCTACAGCCACGGACATTATTAGGTTTGCAGCACCCGCGTCCCGTAATCCAGTCACAACTTTTGCCTTCCAGGAGTAATGAATGCCGCTGACTATTACGGCTTGGATGAGCTACGTCGTGCCTGCGCCGGCTTCGTTCAGTGTTGCATAAACGTCGACACTGTCTGCGCCCTTTTGGCTTCGGCAGAACGATATATTCAGTACAAGTGCACAAAGTCCCTGGTACAAAAGGTAAGGCACCATCTCCCTTCGCAACTCCACCCCATTTCCGTATTGCAGGTGCTGGAATTCGTCGACGAACACGGGAACGAGGTTTTGAATCTGGGCTCGTTCACGCTTCTCCCCCAACACGTAGTTAGACTGATACTCGCCAGGGACGAACTTCAAGCGGACGAGTTTACCAAGTTTCAAGCTGCGCTGATGTGGAGTGAGTATTCTACGGTGGCGCGAGGCGTCTTAATTTGCGGTTTAGGTAAGAAGTACTGCGACAACAATCCGAACACATTTCTAAAGGACGTCATCGGTAACTTCCTCGAGTACATTCAGTTCCATAAGATACCGGCCAACGTTCTAATGAGAGAGATTCATCCTCTTGGTATCGTACCGTATAGTATCATCATGAATGCACTCGCTTATCAGGTGTGTATATCAAGTTTTAGTGGTCAAACACTATTTTTGCGCCCGGTATTGCAAACTAGCAACTTTGGAAACCAATGTAGCGCTTCAAGTGTGTAACGGTTAGTTACATTACAAGGGTTGAAAATACTCGTCCGTACTAAATAAATTAATGTATCCTCTACGACACTGGTAAATCACAATTAGTTTCACCCACGGCTAGCTCTCTAACAAAATTTAACTAGCCCTTCCTTTGGTGGAAATTTAGCCCTTCATCTCCCTTTTAAATCTGAAACTAAAGCTTGACTGTTTGGTTTTACGAATAAATACAAATTCCCAAATAAATAATTGAATATATTGACGTGTTGTTCTTTAAGTTACAAATGGTACGACCGTTCCTTGAAAAGATTCCCTCCAAGAAAAATTGAAAACTGGATCGCGTTTGTGGTGATACAGTTGAACTTTTCGTACTTGCCCTGGTACATTTGCCTCTCGTATGGAAAATTTCTGGATACTGACTTTTAACTTATCTCGACCGCATTTGAACCCAGCTTCACTGTCACAATTGTATTCATATTTTAATAAAACAGTAGGCCACAACTCACGCATCTTTACAATGAAGTCTTTAATTATTTCGCTAAATGCTAACTAAAATGCCTCTTTAAATACGATTTAAGCGCCTCAATTATTTCTCGAAAAGACAGGAAACCGATTTAGTCCTTCAAGTGTTGTAACAGTTAGTTACATTACAAGGGTTGAAAACACTCGTTCTACTAAATAAAATTGATCCTCTACGGCACTGGTAAATTTTCTATCACAATTAGTTTCACCCGCGGCTAGCTCTCTAACAAAATTTAACTAGCCCTTCCTTTGGTGGAAATTTAGCCCTTCATCTCCCTTTTAAATCTGAAACTAAAGCTTTACTGTTTGGTTTTGCGAATAAATACGAATTCCCAAATGAATAATTGAATATATTGACGTGTTTTTGTTTAAGTTACAAATGGTACGACAGTTCCTTGAAAAGATTCCCTCCAAGAAAAATTGAAAACTGGATCGCGTTTGGGGTGATACAGTTGAACTTTTTGTACTCGCCCTGTTGCAATTGCCTCTCGTTGGTTGTATGGAAAATTTCTGAATACTGACTCTTAACTTATCTCGACCGCATTCGAACCCAGCTTCACTACCACAATTGCATTCATATTTTAATAAAACAATAGGCCACAACTCGCGCATCTTTACAATGAACTCGTTAATTATTTCGCTTTTGCGTAACTAAAATGCCTCTTTAAATACGATTTAAGCGTCTCAATTGTTTCTCGAAAAGACTTTGGAAACTGATTTAGTCCTTTAAGTGTTGTAACAGTTAGTTACCATTACAAGGGTTGAAAACACTCGTTCTACTAAATAAAATTGATCCTCTACGGCACTGGTAAATTTTCTATCACAATTAGTTTCACTTACGGCTACCTCTAACAAAATTTAACTAGCCCTTACCTTGTGAAAATTTGGCCCTTTATCTCCCTTTTAAATCTGATTCTTGACTCTTTAGTTTTAAGAATAAATACGAAATCCCAAATAAATAATTGAATATATTGACGTGTTTTTCTTTAAGTTACAAATGGTACGACCGTTCCTTGAAAAGATTCCCTCCAAGAAAAATTGAAAACTGGATCGCGTTTGGAGTGATACAGTTGAACTTTTTATACTCGCCCTGTTGCAATTGCCTCTCGTTGGTTGTATGGAAAATTTCTGGATACTGACTCTTTACTTATCTCGACCGCATTTGAACCCAGCTTCACTACCACAATTGTATTCATATTTTAATAAAACAGTAGGCCACAACTCACGCATCTTTACAATGATTGCGTTAATTTTTTCACTTTTGCGCAACTAACATGCCTCTTTGAATACGATTTAAGCGTCTCATTTATTTATCTAAAACTGTTTTATGGCGGGGTTTTGTTTATATCACAATTTCTTCCAAATGAGATCATTGTAAATTGCGCTAAAAGGCCACTTTGAATGTTGAATAGGTTAGGCATTGCGTATTATATCGCTAAAGCTATGCCCACTTTGAATTTCATGCAATTTGGTTCATAACTAACGGAGATCTCAAAAGGGCCTTTCTTATTTTGTGGCCTATATTGCCAATACCTGCACTGCAAAATGTGATCGTAATAGGTCCACTCGTTCTCTTTTAATTCGATGGACATCGCCATCTAGCGTTATTCGCACAATTTTGGGCGCGAATTTAACTCGGGCCTCTTTGTAGCTCCTCACAGTGCCTTGCGAGTTGTCGCAATTCAAATTCTCCAATCTTAATCAGTGATTGTTATGTGGTTTTTCAACGTACCTTGCCACTCCAAAAAATAAAGCAACGGAAATGTTTTGCACCTTGGACCCCAACGCTTTCGTGGTAATAATTATTACCACGAAATTATAAATTATAATTATAATTTATTTAAGCGCAAGGACAATCATCCAAATATACACCGATGCACGTATTAATACAACCAGCTACTAAATACGCCACTTTATATTGGTTAACTCGTAAGGGCGACTCGTAACACACTTAAAATACACCCAGATACACTTTGTCGAACTAGCGGCACTATCACATACGACTACGCGGCTGGCAAATCTTTTCATAAACGTCGACTATACAAACTCGTCTTGAAGCTCTTCGTTGAGGAAACAATTGTTACGCGATCTAAAATGGTTGCGTTTACGTTACGTTCGATGGCCTGGTAATTGAATCTCATACTGAAAAACGCGACGCTCGACCTGCATAGGGTACTCTTCGAAAGTTTCAGTAAGAATGCCGTTCTCCCACGAAATTTTTTATAATCTATTCGCGAAACGGCACTACCACTCTCGCAGAATCCGTCGGTACGGTTTCTAGAGCCCGCAACACTGTATAGTTTTGACTCTTATCTGCTTGAACACTCGCCGTTATCTTAACGCGCTTTATTTCTCGAATATTAGTTCTGTTCTCTTTTAAGTTGGTGAATTAACAATAAAAAATCTTAAAAATCTAAAGCCCACCTGTTACACCACGCATATGCGTCCGATTGAAACAAGTTAAATGTAAAAGAAACATCTAGTTACCTTAAAATTAATAATCCTTATCATCCGATAACTGCGTTACTCTTTAAACAGATCATTAACACAAACACTAATTTTCTACAACAAATATTTACCAACGTTGCAACCGAGTGGTAGCTTAAGACATAGAAGATGCGGAGATGGACTGACAGAAATACTACAAGAGGTTTTATTTCAATGAATTTGTATTAAAATTTCAAGCTAATGCCGCATTTCAATAAAAAGTATCGTGTTTTAAGGTATGGAAAATTATGTATCATTTAAAGGGCATTTATCCCCTAATTTTCCGTACCAGCACTCACCCGGAAATTTTAATTGAACGCGAGGGTGATATTCACACCTTGTTCTATTTATATACTACACTCCCCAATTTTATTCTGTTTCGGTTACGTGCATTCAAACTTGGATTTAACTGTTTAAAATAAAATTTTTAATAATAATTGTCAAATCTTAGAGCCAGACACCACATGCTAATTTCATTCTTTGTACAGAATATCCTGAAACTCTAATTTTAATTTTCCTGGAGATTGCTAAAATTTTTTAAGACTAAGCGATGCAGGCATAACACGATAGTGTTTCATGTACAGGGTGGCCAAGTAAGAATGCGAGGTACTGTATCTGAGAATCTATCCGTCGTAGAGGCTTGCGGTAAAAAAAGGTATTACCAAAACGGCCATGAGCAAAACCTGGAAAATATTTTTAAGTTTCTGAAATGACCGCTAGGGGGCGTAACTGCAATCTAGAATCTAAAGTCACTAGATATAGAAAGTACCGCAATCATCCGCCATTTTTGGGCAAATTTGCTGCCAACTTAAAAAAACTGACAAATAAAATCTGAATAGCTGTCATTTTTTATAACCTAACTTCATAGCACTGTCATGTTTTATAAAAATATATACAGATATCTCCAAGCAGGTGGAACAATCCTTAACACTAGAATCTGGTAACTTCCGCCATTTTTGGGCAAAAATCATGCCTTCTCTCTCTAACACACGAGCCCAATGGATTGCGGTACTTTCTATATTTAGTGACTTTACTGGAATCTAAAAAAGTGATGTTTCTGTGAATTCCGCTATATTAACATAACAAAAAAATGTCCGGTCTTTGAATTCGATGATAATCTGAACCATTTTTGTTTGACAATTTTTCCTGTATCTCTAAAAATGAAGTGGTGGGGGATATTCTCAGGTTTCCGTAAAGAACACCCTGTATCTTCAAAACGGCTGAGCCGATTTAAACAAACTTGGGTTAGTTCAAAAGAGCTATTCTTCAGCTACAAATATTATAATATTTGAAGTTTTATTAGTTTCACATATCACCGGTTGAGTGCTTTTTTCGACATTCCGACAGAAATGGTTAATTTTCTCAAAAAAATTAAATGCAGTGGTTCGATTTTTTTTTCATGAAAAAGTAGGTAAATGATGCCTAAACAAGCTCGCGAAAACAGCATCTCGATATCTTGATATATATTTTGTGATGGCCAGCATTTCGAACATTTACGGCGGCATTAAAAGCTTCCTTTTTTAAATCGATCCACCTTAGGGCCACAAATTATATAATAAAAATAATTCCGGAAAAATTAGCTTAAAAAATAAAATGTTTTATTTATTTTGCCTTTATTTTTGAGTGGGCGGAGTTTCAGCCAAGACTGCTCTACCAACTCAACCCACTATACATTTACGAATATCCATACTCGAACCCGGATTCGAACCAGGGACCAGCACCACAGTTCAGCTTTAACTGAACTGTGCCACACGGGCGGCAAATTTTGAGGGTATAAAATTTTCATTGGCCTAAATTTTAGGTTAGAAACAAGATATCGAGATGCGGTTTTCGCGAGCTTGTTTAGGCATCATTTAGCTACTTTTTCATGAAAAAAAAATCGAACCAACGCATTTAATATTTTTAAGAAAATTAACCATTTCTGTCGGAATGTCGAAAAAAGCCCTCAAGCGGCGATATGTGAAACTAACAAAATTTTCAATTAACCCAAGTTTGTTAAAATCGGCTCAGCCATTTCGTAGATACAGGGTGTTCTTTACGGAAACCTTTGAATCCCCACAACACTTCATTTTCAGATAGATACGCACCCTAGCGGCCATTGCAGAAATATTTTCCAGGTTTTGCTCGTGACCGTTTTAGTGCCTAATAACTTTTTTTTACCGCAAGCCTCTACAATGGACAGGTTCCCAGATACAGTACCTTGCATTCTTATTTGGCCACCCTGTACAAAACAACCATATCTCGTGATCACGTCCAAATATAATTAATCACTTAGATCTTTATATTCGTAAATAACTCTACATCTGGAACAAATTTACCACGCCAACAAAAGCACGAGTTAATTGTGTCTAACCTTTTTACCGGTTGTCGTTTTAATTATAATGTTATTAGCACCTTGCATAAATGAATTACGTGCACAACTTTGATTAATAAACTGATTTTTTTACGTAACTTGCCATTCCAAACAAATAGCGCAATGAAACGTTTGCACCTTGAACCCCCACGTTTTCGTGGTAACAAGTTTACAAGCTTCGTACCTAGACCCACTGGAGTAACGACTGGCTTAAAGTCTGCCATTCCGAATCACACCTGGTCGTTGATATAACCTCGCTGATGCGGAGCGCTTTACTGTCCTTTTACCGAAATTAAGTGCTCACGCGTGTGCTTCACCTCGACCTCTTTCGACAGAAGTTCACCAATTTCCGAGATCTCGATGGAAAACACATTATGATGCAGTTACCAATTTACAGCGTTCCGAATTTTAAAGTCAAATAAAAATGTTATTATCCATTTTTGTAAATGAAAAAAATATATGTACAATTGTAAGCTGCCTAAGTATCTTTCTTATATATTAAAACCGCCAAGGCGAAACACAGGGGAGAGGAAAATGCCATTTTTCAAGAGCAACAAGACGCCATTAAAACTTACATCGGTCCACCGATTGACTTTTGGACAACGTTGCCAAACTTCTCAGCATGGCTTGTAATTATAGACGGCTGTGGATGTTTAACTGCATCTAGCACGAAAGTGACAAGTGCCTGTGACAGATGACGCAAGTTATAAATGCCATTCTCCTACAATATTGCCAAGTCGTTATGTCATCTGAATGGTTCTAGGAGCTGATTGGTCGGGCTTATTACGTCACAGAGCCCGCCACAATCGTCGTTTTGAATAAACCTTAAAACCGCACAAAAGTTCATTATTTTTTTGCTAATCAGCCTCTATTTTTAAATAAACTTTTACTGTCCAAAAAAATGTTTTATGGTTTCAGGTATAAGCTTATTAAATTAGAACTGCGGAATTCAACTATACTGTAAACCCCCATTAAACAATGAAATACAATACTAGACTTTATGGTTCTACCGATTTCCTGAAGCAATTAAGAAACACAGCCTTATAGAAAAGATTGCGTAGGAATAAATGATGATCCCCTGGGGACTCCAGGGACAAATATTTCGGAGGCCTACGTAGATTTAGACTAAAATTTGGTTGTTAATTTTCAGTGACCGAATGATAACCACTATAATCAAACCTTGTTGTAGGCAGACCCAGCAAGTGTCGACCCCGGAAAACTGTCCCCTAATAGAGTAAGACGCCAAGCGCACGGCCGTTCGATGTCCGTGCAAAGCTCACTAGACCCGTACGGTTCGAACACAACCCTCAGCAGTAGCGGATCTAGTGAGCTAGCTTCTTCAGATGGCAAGCATTCGTCTAACTAACAAATAGCCAGCGGCGCGCCGCCTTCTACTGCTCCTTCAACCGCTCATTCTTCACCCGCACACGTCTTCACCTTTACTATCGTGCTCAAAAAGATAACACCTCTACTTTAATATCCTGTTGTCCGAAACTCGCCCTTTGAAAATTGACGCGCTGATAACCAACGGTAAAAACTCTATTTTTGTAAGCACCACCCAGAACGGGACGTGAGAACAGTTTTTGCGCGTGGTTTTGAAAAGGGTTAGCCCAGTTCTCGACCGCTATGTTCATTCTTGTTTAACAATATTTTCATGCAGTACTTATAAAAATATGTACATAATATAAAACTATGGTGCCATATTGTTGTTAAATGACTGAATTATCCAAACACAATTTTGTTTGTGTACTCACTGTGATCTAGAGTAGTTGGTTCAAGTTTAACTCGGTATCAGTTGAAAAGTGTTCATTATTTTTAATATTGTTGGAGCGTTCCACGTTTAAATTATGACAATCCGTTGTTGAAAGTTACTGTTAAATTTTCTTGTAAGATTTTATTGTTGTAAAAGATTTAAATGAATATAAATAATACTTAAATGACAAACTGCATGATCATATTCAGGATACTTGTTAACTTATACTGAAGAACCTTTACTTTTATCTGTACCAGTTGAAATTGTGCTCAGTTATAAAGTCCAATATGGTGAGAATCGTATTTGGAATACCTAGTTAAAACACCAGTGTAACATCTTCCCTCATACCTTGGAAGTATTATAAGCCCACTCCTGGTCCATACCATATCCGTGTTGCGGCGCGCATTGATGGCAAATTGTTATTAGATGAATTGCAAAGAGTGTAAACCTAAATCAGCGGCTTTCTGTGAGCTTACTTTTATCTTACATTAATTCTAAGTTTGCAAAGACTATGTTTATACTTTCTGTCGTTTGGTTAGTAGGTACAGTAAACAAAGAAGCGCATATCGCCGACAGGCGCAACTTTTGCCAAAAGGGACGCAATTGCCTAAGGTACCTTTATTTACTGTACAAAAATTCTAAATCAATTAACGGTACTACAAGAGTGTCGCTATCAGAGCTGACCGAAACAAAAACGGCGACCTGCCTAAATTATTATCGTCGCGAAACTGTGAGCACTGATGAACGTTCTTGTAGCAACATATACTACCTATATGCTCACTGTTTGAAATGTTTATAATGTTGATGTGACTTGAATTGTTTATGCGTGTAAAGGAGTTGTGTTATTTCTATTATGTAATTGTTTAATGTTCTGTTACTGGATTAGCTTGTACTATCTCTGTCTTGTCAATGTTTAAAGAACAGAATTTCCAAATTCTAATTAAAAAAAAAAAAGATAAGCTGGCATAATTCAATTACTGTCAAAAAGTGGATACTTATACTATGTGGGGCAAGATGTTATAATATACATATATATTTATTTAAAACTATGTTTTATTTCCCGACGCCTATGATATGGTTCATCAGTCAAAACTGAAGAGTTGTTCTGACCCCTAGGATAGGTAGCTAGTTCCTCTCGGGCGGAACATGTCAACCTACAGATGCGTTACGACGTGGTAACATGATGTTCGTCGCCGGACCGCGCAGAGCGTAGCTGGAGGGCCAATTTGATATCCAAATCGAAAGTGGGGATTCTATAACCGGTCCGTGCAGAGTAGAGTAGTATTGCTGCTTTCCGCCGTTTTACTATTCGTTGTTGTTAACCTCGTTATATATTTGATCTAGCGTCGTAGTATATAGGTACGAACTTATTGAAGAGAATATTGTATGCTCAAGCGCTATTTAATTTTTGTAACGGATTACTGTACAGTTTTCCCTTACAAAAATGGATACATACAATATAGATGGCATTACTAGGTTTATTCTTGTTATTTGTTATAAACATTATTTTATTTGGGAAATTTACAACAATTTAAAACATATTTTTGTCGTTATTCAGCGATTGCAGTCGTATTGCGTATGCAATATAATTTAAATTATTTGTCGTCAATTGACGGATCAATTGTTTCATTTAATTAAGTATTAGTCTGACTTCTGAGCGTAAGTAAATTAATTCTAAGTAACAAGTAATTTAAATGTAATCCGTTTCAGAAACGTACCAGTTTTTTATAATTTGAATATTGTCACTAGTGGAAATTTTTCCACAAGACGAAATAGGGTTGAACATAAACCGTAAGTAAACAAATGTAAGCAATAAAGTTTCTATTGAAAGTGCTATTTTAGCTATTTCCCGATTTTCTTATTTCGATATAAAAAAATATCGAAAGTAACGGTCAGAAGTCAGAACTACTATCTCCCAGTCAGGAGCCTACATTATTGCCATCTATTAGCATCCCTCCAATCTGGATGTACATCTTTTATAGCCAGAGGAATTTCACATGTTGAGAGGTTGGAGCTGTAAAGACAAAAAGGTCAGAGATACGTCCAATCATTATCATACTTACCTTCACAAAACAAGTGCTGTCCAGCTATCTGTTGAACTTTACCTATGCACATCAAATTTTTGAAAATCCATTACGTATACTTTCCTCGAATGCTTCCATAATTTCTTTTTCATATTGCATTGATTTTAATTATTTTTGTACATAATACTAACATTTAGTTTTAAGTTTTTTGTAATACTATTGTTAATTATAAGGAAGCATTTCGTTCAGTAAAAAAAAAAGGATTTCATTTGGTTTTTTTGTGTTCATGATTTTGTCAAAAATGTCGTGACACATATCTGGCGCCCAACGTAAATATTCAAAACTATAGAAAAAGGATTGTTATCTCTGATTTTCACTTTACGTATTTGTTTGCATTATTTTGTAACAATATGAATGTAAATGCTATGAAAGGTGATGAACTGAATCATGAATTGCGATTTCGTAATGTGGACGCTACGTCTCTAACTGTTGATCAAAAACGAAAATTGCTAAGGTCTAAACTGGCACTAGAACGGCTTGACGCATCATTAATTAATAAATATCCTACTGTAGATTACGATGTTGTTGTTGAACTGCAATATTGTGCAGAGAAACTTATTGAATTCGAAGAATTAGTTAATGTATTTGTAACTAAACCATCAAATGCCATGCACTGTAGACTCAGTACTCGTTTGACATGTCTATTAGGTCTACTTAATCGTTTACAACCTACAGAAGCCTTACAGAGCGAACACAATAAAGGCGTTTCTCATTGTCTTGAATTGTTGAATAGGATTGGTGACGCGTTTGAGGCTACTCAAGTCGCATCAGATGAATCGGAGGAAGAACATCCTAATTTTAATCGTAGGGAATCGAATGTTCAGCTTCCTATTGCTAGTTCAACAAGACTTCGTCAACCTTTGCCAGAAATTAATGAACATCCCGAACAGTTAGTTGAACCGGGACATCCTCATATAACTAACC